GCCCCTGCCCCCTTTAAATCAGAATAATCTTCACTCCCTCCCCAAACCGTCAAATTATGGCCATGTCTCTCCCTGCCTCCCTACCATAACACAAACACATCGCCTCCTCCCTCAAAACAGTAAAACCCACACCTCCCCATTTCACAACAATCACAATCCCATAACCACTAGCTTCTCTATTCTCTTGCTTGAAAGAAAGGCACAGAATACACACAAATATAGGAACAAAAGGCTTCCCTTCCTAACACTTTAACGACCCCCATCCCCTTCTTTTCCTCCCACTCTGACGCTAAGCCGATCGTTCTCATCCCTGTCATCATTCAGTTAATTTCCTTCCCTAGCCCAATCCTGTCTTCCAGTTTCCTGCGTCTATTTCCCATCCTCCTATTGCAGCCTGCCTCATCCCTTTTCCTAATCCACCTTTTCCTTCACTTTCATTCCTCTTTTCTCCCTTCATTACCATAAAATACCTCATTTCTCCAGCAAATTTATCCCCTTCCCCTAGACTCTTCTGCTTCCCACACTCCATCCCCAAACCTCCCTATTTATCTCAGTCCACCCAGGTCTCTAATCTCCGTGCAACTCTTCACCCCTTTCCCTGCCCCTCCCCATCCATCCATATCCCCGCCCCCATCCCACTTCTACTCCCAATTCCCAGCTCAGCGCCACTCCGACTCCGATCCCACTCCCACCTCCCCTGCCCCACCCCCCAATTCCCTCCACACCCCCCACCTGGCCATCTGCTCCTCCGTCAGGACTCCCCTCGAGCCCGTTCAGGCCACCAGCTTCCCCTTCCATTCCTCCAGGGGTCTGGTGCCCCAGCCTTAGGTCGCCCCCTCCTCAGCCCTTCCTTGTACTACACGCGCGCGCGGACACACACATACATGCACTTTACCTTCAGTTTGTTCCATTCTAACCCCCCGGCCGTGTCAGTACGATCACAGGAGAGACACTGAGGCCCGGAGTGGGGCTGGGGTGCGGGCAGCCGCTGCGGCCGCGCGGGGAGGAGGCGGAACCGAGCTAGGCCGCATGAAATCCCCGAGCTAGATTTTCCCCGCGTCGGACGCCTCTGCCATGGCGGCCGGCACCGAGGAGCGCCACGGCCGGGCCGGGCCGGGCCGGGCGTGCCGCGGGAGAAGGAAGGCTCGGAAGGTGGGAAGGGAAGGGGAGGCCGAGGGACTGGGGTCGCCCCACCGCCGACACCGCCAGAGAGGAGCCTAAGGCTGGCGGCCCGGCCTGGGCAGCAGGGTCCTCAGCGCTAGGCTCCGAATTCGCACGCCTCTCCGCGGCGACCTGTGCACAGCCCCCTCGGCCTCCGCCGCCGCCGCCGTCGCCGCTGCTCCCGCCACCGCCGCGCACAAAGCCCCCCCACCCGGACTCTCCGGGCTCCGCCGCCGCCAAATCCTCAGACCCTTATTGGTCGCGGGCCGCGGTGCCTGCCGGGAAATGCAGTCCCGGGTTCGGGGCGCTAGGGGCCCAGGAGCAATCGGCGAGTCTGCTGGGCGAAGGGGCGGGAGCGCAAACCAGGAACGCCCGCGGCCGCTAGCGTCTGGACAACCGGGGAGACTGGGCTAGAGGGCCGAGGGACGGGGAGGGACAGTGTGAGGGAGAGTGACACACAAAACACCCCGGGAAGCTGGAGGAGGCGGGGAAAGGTGGGGCCCGGAAGGGAAAACTGGGCTCGGCGCGTTCTGTGAAGCTGATTAAAGAACAGCGTGCATTCAGGGCCATATGGCGCTCTTCGGCGTTAGAAGCGACCCTCGCATGGTCCCCGGTGGGCGACTGCACGAGGGCAGGGCAGTCCAGGCGACCCCTTGGCCGTCTCCCATCCCACAGCTGTCAGGGAAGGGCTCCCATTCCAGGAGGGTCTGCATCTGGAATGCCAGGGGCGATGCAAGACCGCCTTGGGGGCGATTTCCCTCTCAGCCCCGGCTGGATTGTCGATGGTCCCCCTCCCCCGGTTGCCAGCCAAAGGAGGCCGGGCCGGTGGCACAGTCCCGCTGAGGAAGCGTCCCGAGTTCCCCGGCAGGCGCCAGCCCCGCGCGTCTCTTCCTGCTCAGCTGCGGCCCGGAGGCTTGTGGGTAACCGGGAGGACGTCAGCGCCCACCGCATCCCCTGGTTCCCCCCGGCCGCAGGAGACCGCAACGGCTCTGTGCCCGTCACGTGCCGGGGCCCGCGGCTGCTCGCCGCCAGACCTTCGCATCGAGGGACGTGAGGGATATTTGTCCCAGACGGCCCAAGCAAGAACCAGAGGAGGAACTGGCAGGCAATTCTCCGTCATCCTCTAGCCCCCCGGATCCTAGGAAATGTATGGAAAACAATGGAAGGTTAGATGTTTGCACCAGTGATCTAGCCCCGCAGGAGTGTGCCGACCAGGTGATATTTCCTGGGGCCTGGTGATAAGGACTTAGAAGGTTACAGCACAGAGACGGGAACGTAAAAAAGAAACACAGGCAGTAAGCAAATGAGGAAACCGATACTGTCTGTTCTGAGAATAATAAAGCCATTTCACTGCTAGACGTTATACTCTCTGTAGACGTTAGTGCTGGATGTCTTTGGTACTATTACAAGAAATTAGGTATCTGTATCTTTACCACGTAAACAGGAAATTAAAAGATTCCTACAGATCAGTTATTTGAATGGGCACTAGTTATGAACCACTTAAAAAAACAAAAACAAAAACGTAACCCGGTTAATTCTACTAAGGATGATACTGAGAATTAAGAGTTCTCATTACTATTAATCATTAAATATTTTTAAACGTATGCTTTAAGTAGTACCACAAGTTAAAGCTATCAGTAAAAGCACACTTTTAATTTGTGATATGGCTTTTTAAAACACAGATGGCCAAAGCAGGCCACTAAGTCTAGCTTAATTCTATCTCCAGGAAAGAGGGATTAATTAAATTAGTATTTTGTTTTTCTATGAGCCTTTCTACTTCCATTCTTCTTTTTCTTCCTCCTGTGTCTTCCTTGCTTTGTTGAGAAACTGTTGTCTTGACCCAGCCCCTGGGTTTCTTCCTTGAGAATCTGTTAAGTTGTATATGAAGTAGATGCACAGTCTTTTCCCGCAAAACATTACAAAATACAGTTAATATTTGATCTAGTGCCATATTTAGGAAAATGGCCATTAAAAATAATAATTTACATTTTCAGCATCTAACATCTAAGTTTTAGACCATGCTTACTTTTCATCACAGAAAATGAGCAAGCAGCTCATTAAGACAGCAATCTAACACAATTCTCAGCGCCAGAGTCATGGAGGAAAAAATATTTTTTAAAAAATTTCTTTTCTGAAGATTATATACAGAAACTCCTTACATGATAAATCATTTATCCTGAAAGTCAAAGAAATTGTCAAGTCTCATAATAAGGGAAGACAGACATTGCTTTCAACAAATAGATTTCAACAAGAAGTGTTCTTAACCCTTCTTTTTTTTAGGATAGCATTGCTGACATATGGCCGTTGTAGAAAACCTAGCTCATCTTTCAAATACCGGGCATGGAATCGTTCATCTGGTTTATGAATACTTAATGATATTCACTGTGCCTCGTTGTAAGTGAATACAATGCATGAATATTTCCCCGTATAAAATGTCTCCCAGGGAACTGAGAATATTTTTGCATCCTTTATGATCTTTTCCAGAAAAGTACCAGTACATGGTAGTGCAATTATGAAATCAGTGTGGAAACTACACCTACCTTTTAGAGCTCAAAATTTGACCACCAGGAATTTTCAGTGAGGGGAAAGTAGGGTCCAAAGCTTTGTAGATTTTAATTCTAGTAAACAGAACGTGAAGTGAAACCTTTATGTGCAAAGTTGAACATCAGACGTGCACAAAGAGACCTCTAGTGGCCAAACTGAAAAGTTTTGCCTATTTAAAGTTGATCCATTTGGTTATTAGCTGAAAAATCCTTTGTGGATTAAAAGCAGTCTGCATTTTTTACTGACGTTTAATACCCGCCATCTTCCATTCTTAAAAATGTGCAGTCCAGATGAGTAAAGTCTGTGGTCAGCTCACATGTTAGGAGACGTATTCTCCGTGAGAAAGCGATTCCTTGCTGTATGGTGGTGTAGAGCCACTAAAAAAAAAAAAAAATTTTTTTTTTAGATGGAGTTTCCCTCTTGTCGCCCAGGCTGGAGTGCAGTGGCGCGATGTCGGCTCACTGCAACCTCTGCCTCCCGGGTTCAAGCGATTCTCCTGCCTTCGCCTCCAGAGTAGCCGGTACTACAGGCGCATACCACCACCCCCGACTAATTTTTGTATTTTTAGTAAAGACGGGGTTTCACCATGTTGGTCAAAATGTTCTCGATCTCCTGACCCTGTGATCTGCCCGCCTCAGCCTCCCAAAGTGCTGGGATTACAGGCGTGAGTCACCGCGCCCAGCCTAAAAGAAGTTTTTTAAAATCTTCCTTCCGGAGCCAGATAAAATGGATGGGAAAAGATAACTGGGGAACGAGAATATTTCTTAATCTTTTATTTTCCCAAGATGGCTCAGTATAGCCCATCCTAGGAACTGAAGTGCCCTCAAACCTGCAGTGTCTCATTTCACAGTTACTATAACATACATTTTGTATGTTGAGATTTCTACACAAACTACTAATCATAAACAAGACTTGTTAGGGAACATTTGGAAAGCAAATATCTTTAGTAGAATACAGATTTCCATAGACGATTTCACAGTATTCCAGCCTCTGGAGAGGAAGGGAGAGAGATCGTTCCTTCCGATTCCCGCCCTTTCTGCGACAACATCAAGTCCTCTCCGCGCCCCCGAGGCAGTTCCGGAATTGCGGGGGCCGAAGGAGAATACATCAAAGTGATGTCATTCGTGACTCCGAGATGGTTACCATGGCGACTGCCAGACATATTACCCTGTCAGTAGAGTAAGAACCTGTTTAATCCAGTCTTCAATCAAGGGTTTCCTCAGGGGTTAACCACAGCCTGCAGATTGTGGACTGGCAGAAAAACGTCACCTTCGGGCCCCCCAGCACCAACGCTCCTTAAATCAAGCCCCACAGAGAAGTCATTTCGTTGATGGGAACGTGACTTTGCGGCTTCCTGGGCTGCTACAGTGAAGGACGCCCGCCCTCCCCAGAATTTGAGAGCTTATTGGTTGATGATGTCGTCACTCACAACGTCACTCAGATTGACGTCAGGGGCGAGAAAAGAGACGGAGCCGTAGAGACTTGGCTTCGGGCCTTTCTAGCATGGGGGTCCCTGGGAGGACCCAGGAAGGAACTAGGAGGACCTCGGCGGCCGTTCCGCGGAGCCCGGCCGAGGAGGTAGGGGTGGGCAGGCCCAACCCTCAGGCCGCGACCTGGTGGGCCGCACTGCCTTTTTTTCCTCCGGAGCCCGCTCCGCCAGCATCCTGCTCCTCCCATCAGCGCCAGATTCAGGCTGCCTGACAGCTTCCAGTTCCCATCGCGCTCTCCTCCGCTCCCGACCTCATCCCCGCCCGCGTCCCAAACTCTGAAGCTCGGTCTCCCTTCCCCCGCACAACGCGCTCCCTCCTTCCTGTCCCGGGCTCTGCTTCTCCTCGGCTTCATTTCCAACAACCCCGATCGTCCACCAGGGTCGTCGTTCTGGTGCCTGTCCCACCCCCGCACCAAAAAACCAAAGCAAATCCCTCAGACCCCGCCGCATGCAGGCCGCCGGCGGAGGAAGCAGAGGGCGCGTTTTGCTCCCGTGTCGTGAGGGGCAAAGCCGAGGGATACCAGGAGCAGCGGGCGTGGGGCAGTGACAATGTGAGTGCGAGTGGTGTCCGCCGCCCGGGAGAGCCCCGGCCCGAGCGGATTAACTGCCGCCTCGGGTCTCGTCTTCCGCCAGCGAAATGCCACCCACCGTTAGTATGGGTTCAGAGGTTCCAAGCCCCTGTTCAAAGTGTCAGCTCTGTGGTTGAGGTTTCTCTCCAGGAGAGCTCCTGGAACTCCCTTCCCAGCCGAAAGAGAGCAGCCATTGGGAGATGCCAGCTCTTCTGCTGCCCTTCGCTGCCCTTCGCCGCCCTTAGCAGAAAAGCGCCCCTGGATGGAGAATGGTTTTGGTGAAGGTTATCTACATATTCAAAGCTCAGATTGGGCTCTGGAGAATCACTAGCAAGGGAAACAGTTTTACCTCCACTTGAGCGATTAGTAGGTTCCATGTCTACCTTCATTCACTGCTACCTAAATTAGATTAGTGGGTACTTCCAATCATCAGGGTTTGGGACAGCTTGCCTAAATATAGAACAATGCTAACTGAAAAGATATTCAGGATATTTACTTTCTACCTATATTTTAAGGCTACAAATAGGTATGTCTTGCTCCACTTTTTAAGTACTTGGCAATCATTGAAGTTGTGTTACTAGATACTGTTGACCAGAAATCAAAATGTCTCTGAGGACTGTACCATCTTCATGAGCATCATCATCTTAGAGATCATTACCATTTGCTGGAATATCAAAGTACCATTCTCAAGTCCAGAGCTAAGAAAATATCTACGATTGTTGGAAGTTAGCTTGAAGGAGATTTTGTACCTTGCCTATGCAAATGTTCTACCTTTGCAATAGTTAAAAACACTTAAATCCTGATGTATGTTAATTGTTGTGTTTTTAAAATACTAAATTGTTTACTTCTTTTGCCTAGGTCTCTATGTTAACTAGTTGAGACAAAAATAAATATGGCCTTCTACAGTTATAATTCAGTCTTAGCTATTGCTCGAACAAGGTAAGCATTGGTGTTACCCTCCTCCCCATATGAACTTCATTATTTTTTTCTTTTTAAGATGGAGTCTCACTTTGTCACTGAGGCTGGAGTGTAGTGGTGCGATCTCTGCTCATTGCAACTTCCATCTCATGGGTTCAATTGATTCTCCCGCCTCAGCCTCCAAGTAGCTGAGATTACAGGCGTTTGCCACCATGCCCAACTAATCTTTGTATTTTTAGTAGAGACGGTTTCACCGTGTTGGCCCGGCTGGTCTGGAACTCCTGACCTCAGGTGATCCGTCTGCCTTTGACTCCCAAGGTACTGGGATTATAGGCATGAGTCACGTTGCCCAGCCTGAACTTCATCTTTCTAGATGGAAAGGCTATGTATAAGGGGATTGGCCTCGTACACAATTAAAACTTTCTTGGAGACTGGGCTTGAACCTGGGATGTGGAGGTTGCAGGTTGCAGTAAGCTGAGATTGCTCCATTGCACTCCAGCCTGGGTGACAAGAGCGAAACTCCGTCTCAAAAAAAAAAAAACTCTGTCTCAAAAAAGAAAAACAAGGCCGGGCGCGGTGACTCAAGCCTGTAATCCCAGCACTTTGGAAGGCCGAGGCGGGTGGATCACGAGGTCAGGAGATCGAGACCATCCTGGTCAACATGGTGAAACCCCGTCTCTGCTAAAAATACAAAACATTAGCTGGGCATGGTGGTGCGTGCCTGTAATCCCAGCTACTCAGGAGGATGAGGCAGGAGAATTGCCTGAACCCAGGAGGCAGAGGTTACAGTGAGCCGAGATCGCGCCATTGCACTCCAGCCTGGGTAACAAGAGTGAAACTCCGTCTCAAAAAAAAAAAAAAAAAGAAAAAAAGAAAAAAAAAAAAACCCAAAAACTTGGTTTTTAGGATGTTGACATGTTAATGTATTTAAACTTACAGCAAATTTTCTATGTGCTTTAGAACTCAGGCAGAGTAATTTTGTAGATTTATGGTACAGGTTAAGATAGAAGATGTAATTTTTTTCTTTCTTTCGTTTATTTTTATTTTTTTGAGACAGAGTCTCTGTCACGCAGGCTGGAGTGCAGTGGCATGATATCTTGGCACACTGCAACCTCCACTTCCCCTTCCCAGGTTTAAGAAATTTTCCTGCCTCAGCCTTCCAAGTAGCTGGGATTACAGGCAAGTGCCACCACACCGGCTAATTTTTGTGTTTTTTTGTACAGATGGGGTTTTGCCATGTTGGCCAGGCTGGTCTTGAACTCCTAACCTCAGGTGATCCACCAGCCTCGGCTTCCCAAAGTGCTGGGATTACAGGCATGAACCACTGTGCCTGACCAGAAGATGTAATGGTTTTAGAGTGACATATCTTTAATTGATGAATGTCACTTGAGGTCCTTAGATGTAAAGGGAGTAAAATGGCTGATGAACAAGCCAGTCTTAGGGCATATTTCTATCCCATTAAGGTCTGTTACCATTTATTTATTCACTGAGACTAAATAAAAACTATTCACTGGTCACTTTCCCCTTTTTGGCCATTCAAAGAGTGTTTTATCTTGGCATGCTTCAAAAATAGTCTGAGGCTGGAGCGAGGCAGCCGAGTTGCAGACGCAGAGATGTAGATCTTTGTGAAGACTCTCACGGGCAAGACCATCACCCTTGAGGTCGAGACTGGGGACACCATTGAGAATGTCAAAGCCAAAATTCAAGACAAGGAGGGTATCACACCTGACCAGCAGTGTCTGATGTTTGCCGGCAAACAGCTGGAGGATGGCTGCAGTCTCTCAGACTACAACATCTAGAAAGAGTCCACCCTGCATCTGATGCTGCACCTGTGAGTTGGTATTATTGAACCTTCCCTCCGACAGCTCGCCCAGAAATACAACTGCAACAAGATGATCTGCCGTAAGTGCTGTGCTCTCCAGCACCCCCGTGCTGTCAGCTGCCACAAGAAGAAGTATGGCCACACCAACAACCTGCACCCCAAGAAGGTTAAATAAGCCTCTTCCTTCTGGGAAAGGCAGCCTTCTGCCCAGGCCCCATGGCCCTGGAGCCTCAATAAAGTGTCCCTTTGGTTGACTGGAGCAGCAAAAAAAAAAAAAAAAAAAAGTCTGAGGCATGTTGCAGTGGCCCACACCTATAATCTCAGCACTTTGGGACGTCTAAGCAGAAAGACAGCTTGAGCCCAGGAGTTCAAGAACAGCCTGGACAACATAGTGAGACCTTATCTCCGCAAAAATTTTAAAAACTATCTGGGTGTGGTGGTGTGGGCCTTTAGTCCTCGCTACTCTGGATGCTGAGCCTGGGAGGTCGAGGCTGCAGTGAGCTGTGATCACACTACTGTTCTCCAGCCTGGGTTTTTAACAGTTTAAGAACCAAGCCAGGCATGGTACATGTACCTGTAATCTCAGCTCCTTGGAAGGCTAAGGTGAGAATTGCCTGAGCCCAGGGGTTTGAGGCCACTCTGGGCAACATAGCAAGACCCTGTCTCTTAAACAAAGAAAAAAAAAGAGCCAGGTGTGGTGGCTCATGCCTGTAATCCCAGCACTTTGGGAGGCTGAGGGATCACTTGAGGTCAGGAGTTTGAGACCAGATGGGCAAACATGGTGAAACCCCGTCTCTACTAAAAATACCAAAATTAGCCGGGTGTGGTGGTGGGTTCCTGTAGTCCCAACTACTCAGGAGGCTGAGGCAGGAGAATCACTTGAACTCAGGAGGCAGAGGTTGCAGTGAGCCAAGATCGCGCCACTGCACTCCAGCTTGGGCAACAGAACAATACTCTAGCTCCGAAAAAAAAAAAAAAGACAAATTTTCTTCGCTTTTGTTTTTGGCATGTTCCAAAATAATGAATATTGCATATGCAGTTAATTCTGTAGGCTGTTGAGAACTTGTGTTGATTTCTTCTACATGAGCCTGGGAGGTCATGGCTGCAGTGAGCTGTGATTATGCCACTGCACTCCAGCCCTCCAGCCTAGGACCCTGGGTTGACAGAGTGAGGACCATGCCTGTCTTAAAACAAACACCTGAAAGAATGGGAAAAGCCGTCTCTTTGCCAGTCACTTTCTTTGCTTATATCTGTCATACTTTGATTTTTGAACAATCTGATATGACAGTTTAACTGCAGACTGTGGGCTGTTGCAATACCAGAATGTAGAGATCCTTAATTGGGGTGCCCAATCCTAATTCTTTTTTTTTTTGAGATGGAGTCTCACTCTGTCCCCCAGGCTGGAGTGCAGTGGCACAATTTCGTCTCACTGCACCTTCACCTCTTGGGTTCAAGCAATTCTCCTGCCTCAGCCTCCCTAATAGCTGGGATTACAGGTGCATGATACCACGCCTGGCTAATTTTTGTATTTTAGTAGAGATGGGGTTTCACCATATTGGCGAGGCTGGTCTTGAACTCCTGACCTCAGGTGATCCACCTGCCTCAGCATCCCAAAGTGCTGGGATTATAGGCGTGAGTCACTGCACCCAGCCCTAATGTCCTTGAAGAATTTAGGTGAAGGGTATTTTAGCTGTAAGTGCCTCTCATTTGAGGGGTTCAAAGACACTGCATAGGCAAGGCAGTATTATGTGATTGGTTAATCCCTTCAGCAACCATCAAATGTTTCTTTGAAACAATATTCCTTGGCCAGGCGTGGTGGCTCACGCCTGTAATCCCAACACTTTTGGAGCCCAAGGCAGGAGGTCAGGCGTTTGAGACTAGCCTGGCCAACTTGGTGAAACTCCATCTCTACTAAAAACACAAAAATGAGCCGGGCTAGCTACTCAGAAGGCTGAGACAGGAGAATTCCTTAAACCCAGGAGGCAGAGGTTGTTGTGAGCTGAAATCACGCCACTGAACTGCAGTGTGGATGACAGAAATGGAAAAAAAAAGCTGTTTTATTTTGACCAGATGTACTACCTATTTCTTTAATAGTACCTGCTTTATGATACTGTGTGCTTTGTAATAGTATGTATTTAACTCAGAGGATGTTGTTCTTTATTCCAGATTCTCCAGCCATTTTGTCCGTCCTACCTGCTCTTTTTATTCCCCATCATGTGTATTTCTTCACTTGCCAGATTCCCATTTAAATAAGACATGTCTGAAGAACTGTGGGAGCAAGAAGTACTCAGATCCTAGTCAGCCAGGCAATACAGTACTTCACTCACAAACTAGACTAATACAAAAGCTACACACATCCACTTGCTGGCTGCGAGAGGTTCCTGGCAAACCTCAGCTGGGGCAAGCCACAAAAGATCCACAGGTGACAAGCCCTCAGGCCACAAAAACTGGCGCGAAGATTAAAGAAGGCGAGCAATCTTACAGACAAAAAATCATGGATGAACTTAAATATTATTACAATGGATTCTACTTACTTTGGATTGACACCAAAGTTGCTGCCAGAATGGTTTGGAGGCTGTTGCATGGACAGGTCCTGACCAGACGAGAGAGACGAAGGGTAGGCAAGAATCATATTTGAGAAAAAAAATGTGAAATTAAAATGAACTCTTTGGGAGCTCTAAATTCAACATAAACTTCATCTTAAACATCCCAGAGTAGGTGGCTGGGTGCGGTGGCTCACGCCTGTAATCCCTGCACTCAGGAGGCCGAGATGGGCAGATCACAAGATCAGGAGTTTGAGATCAGCTTGACCAACGTGGTGAAACCCCATCTCTACTAAAAATACAAAAATTAGCTGGGCATTATGGCATGTACCTGTAATCCCAGTTACTCAAGAGGCTGAGGCAGGAGAATCACTTAAAACAGGGAGGTGAAGGTTGCAGTGAGCTGAGATCACGATACTACACTCCAGCCTGGGTGACCGAGAGAGACTCCCTTTCAAAAAAAAAAAAAAATCTCAGACTAGGCCAGGCACAGTGGCTCCTCACGCCTGTAACCCCAGCACTTTGAGAGTCCAAGGCAGGCAGTCATGAGGTCAGGAGTTCAAGACCAGTCTGGCCAACATAGTGAAACCCTGTCTCTACTAAAAATACAAAAAAAAAAAAAAAAAAAAAAAAAAAAAAAAAAAAAAAAAAACACACAAAAAAAAAAAAAAAAAAAAAAAAAAAAAAAAATCCCAGAGTAGGAATAATAACTGCTGGTGAGAACCAGGAGTCTTGCTCTGTAGCCCAGGCTGGAGTGCAGTGGCTCCATCTCGGCGCACTGCAACCTCTGCCTCCCAGGTCCCGGTTCAAGCAATTCTCCTACCTCAGCCTCCCAAGTAGCCTCCCAAGTACCTCAGCCTCCCAAGTAGCCACCATGCCCAGCTAATTTTTGTATTTTTTAGTAGAGACAGGGTTTCACCACGTTTGCCAGTCTGGTCTTGAACTCCTGACCTAAGGTGACCTGCCCGCCTCGGCCTCCCAAAGTGCACAGATTATAGGCATGAGCTACAGTGCCCGGCCTGTAGAATGGTTTTTTAACATTTATTATAGGTTCAGGGGTACATATGCATGTTTGTAGAATGGTTATAATTGTGTTTTTTAATCTCTCCAAGAAGTTGAGAGGCTTCATGTTTGAAGTATTGTTAAATATTAAGCACATGCATTTTAAAACCCAATTTTGGGTGGGCATAATAACTCACACCTGTAATCCCAGCACTTTGGGAGGCAGAGGTGGGCAGATCACTTGAAGTCAAATGTTCGAGACCAGACTGGCCAACACAGTGAAACCTTGTCTACTAAAAATACAAACATTAGCCAGGCATGGTGGCATGTGCCTGTAGTCCCATCTACCCAGGAGGCTGAGGCAGGAGAATGGCTTGAACCTGGGAGGCCCAGGTTGCAGTGAGCTGGGATTGTGCCACTGTACTCCAGCCTGGGAGATAGAATGAGAGTGTGTCTCAAAAAAACAAACAAAAAACACCCCAATTTGAAGTGGTACTATGTTATTAAAGTATGGACCCTCTAACGTAATAAAGTCTAGGAGATGCCAATAATATTTTTATATCATAGATTTCCTTCAAGATATCCAATAAAAATTACTTCAGAGCTATGGTAAACGGGAAAACCCTGCCTTTTCATTTTATAAAAAGTTGCAGAAAACCTGTCTTGGTGTTTTAACACTTTAAGAACCAAGCTGAGCATGGCACATATGCCTGTAATCCCAGCTCCCTGGGAGGTGGGAGGATTTTTTGAGCCCAGGAGTTTGAGGCCAGACTGGGCAATGTAATGCAACACTGTCTCTTAAAAGAAAGAAAGAAAGAAAAAGAAAGAAAAAGAAAGAAAGGAAGGAAGGAAGGAAGATAGGAAGATGAACCAAGACAGGGTTTTTTTTGTTTCGTTTTTGATTTTTATTTTTGGTGTGCCCTAAAATAATGAATATTGCATGTGCATTTAATTCTATAGCTGTTGAGAACTTGTGTTGATTTCTTCCGCCTGGTTCCATTTATGGTGTTCATAATTGTACCCTTCATGGAATTCTTATTACCAGTGTTTCTGAAACTCTTCCCAGAGATGTTGCCGTCAACTTTTGAAAGTGAATCCAAAAAGGTATGTAGGATTTTTTTAACTTTAACAAAATTTAATAACCTTTATTAGAGGAGTTTTTAGGTTTACAGAAAAATTAGGCAGAAAGTACTACTTCTCTCCACCCTACCCTGTCACAATTTCTCCTGTAATTAATATCTTGCATTAGTGTGGTATATTTGTAACAATTAAAGAACCAAGACTGATATTTTATTATTAAAGCTCATACTTTAGGGTTCACTCTTTATGTTGAAACAGTTCTGTGGGCTTTGCAAATGCATAAGGTCATGCACCCACCATCACAGTATCATACTCAATAGTTTCACTGCTCTAGGCACAGTAGCTTATGTCTATAATTCCAGCACTTTGGGAGGCTGAGGCAGGTAGATCGTCTGACCCCAGGAGTTTGAGACCAGCCTGGGCATCATAGCGAGACTCCATTTCCACAAAAAACAAAAAAATTAGTTAGGCATGATAGCTCATGCCTGTGGTCCCAGTTTCTTGGGAGGCTGAAGCAAGAGGATCACTTGAGCCCAGGAGGTTGAGGCTGCAATGACCTATGATAGTGCCACTGCACTCCAGCCTAGGTGGCAGAGGAGGACCCTGTC